TGCCCCGGGAGCCGCGGCAAACGTTCCAGAGAGCCGCATGCGGCTCCGGAGCCGCGGGTTGCCGACCGCCGGTCTATCTGATTTAATTTAATTTAAATTTAATTTAATTTAATTTAAACATATGGATTATATAAATAAGGCTATACTTATGAATTCCTTTCAATCCACATATATACTTTTGACCATATTTTTTTGAAAAGCTGAATTCATACTTCCACTGAGTTTTTGTGTTAAATTATCCATTTCAATCACATCAATCATTTTATTAATAAAATCCCATCTGTCAGGCACCTGATCTTTCTTCTAGTACCTAGCTAATACTATCCTTGCTGCCGCCAGTAAATGCATCACCGCATATTTTCCCCCCTTTTTCCAGCTTTCCGGCATGATTCTTAACAGGAATATTTCAGGGTCAAATGATATTTGTAACTCCAGTGCCTGTGTTATTACCGAATGGACCTCTTTCCAATATTTTTTTACTGCTGTGCACGTCCACCAAGCATGGTAGAAGGAGCCTACTTGCGATTTACATTTCCAACACAAATTACTTAGCCCTGGATAGAATCTGGCCAGTGTATCTGGGGCCAGGTACCACCGGTAACACACCTTAAAGACATTTTCTTTTAATGATACCACCTTGAGCCGTCTCACATTTTGCCAAATCCCTTCCCATCTATTCAGGTTGATTGTTTTCCCAATATTTTTATTCCAGATGGTCAATGGTGTCTTACTACTCTCATCTTTCAACCTGTTATCCAACAAAAAGAAGTATATTTTTCATATCATTTTGACGTCTGGGCCCATTAATATTTTATCTAATTCTGATAAATTTGTACTAATACCTGTTTGACTATCCTTCTTATACCTAGATGTTAACTGAAAATCATCCAGCATTATTTAACAGTCAGCAAACATGGAAGGGTGAAAGAAGTTAGCTATTTAAAAACCCTACTTGAAATCAAGAGAGTTGAAAGCAGGAGCTTTCAGAGCATAGTATAGAAACTGGCAGTTGCATGTGCACATGTAGAAGTTTCCCACAATCATAATCAAGGGCCATGTCATCTAGCTATACCCAGTACTGTGATAGCAAGCAGGTTTATGAAAGGCTGAAGCTAGCTAAGCCATTTGCAGAGACAGCATCAGCAATGGGAAGTGCAAATCACATTCTGTAAAAACCATGAAAGGGCAGAGAAAGCACAGTAAGTAAGCAACTCTGTATGTGAGACGGTTACCCTCTCCTTTCTTTCAGAGCCATCCTTTGGTTAAAACAGGCATAACTGTTTAATGAGTTTTCACTTACTGATACCTTTGTATGTTAAAAAAGGAATCAGTATGGGTCTTTGATTCCAATCAAATAAGCAATGCAACACTTTTAAAAAATAGGTATTTAGTTATCACAGACTCAAGGAAGAACATATATAGATATTTGCACCTTTCTCCTAAAGCTGCCATTTTCTCAGTCTCCCTGTTGGCTCCACTTGCTCTGGGCACACAATGGATTCTGCTGCTGCCAAGCTGAGAGTCAGTGCTGGGAAGGAACAGCATCTTCGCCCAACAGCCGGTACCTGAAATCTTTTAAAGCTATCTACTGGCAAACCATGAGCTCTGTCGTGGAGCCATGACCTCCTTAATTAAACCCAAGAAGAGAAGTGCTGTCCTGTATTGAGAGATGCAGCAATATGGAAAATTGCACAAATACAACCAGCATCCAGAAATAAAGCCACAGTTAAAGCCACAGAACAAAGCCAAGCAAAAAAAATGTCAATTTGATGCCCTTTCACTCAAACCTCACTTACCTCTCACAACTCGTTCTTCACGTGCTCACTGAAAACACGACCAATGCGACCCATCCGTACAACAACGGAAACGGAAAGAGACTCCAACCAACCGTTCTTGCCGTTCGTTCTTTCCATAGACGGGGGGGGGGGAATCTCGCGGTTATCCGCCCAAGGAAGATTACTACCTCCCCCTCTCTAATAAGATTGATAAGTGAAACCTCCAATCACAAGGAGCCGCTGTTTTTTTAAATTTCCTCAAGAAACGGGAGACGCTCATCCATAGGTTGAGATTTTAAGGCGTTTAAAGGAGGCGCGCTACGATTGGCCAGCGAGATAGGCGGTGTGGACCAATCCTAGCTTAGTAGTTTTCGTCGGTATGTTAAAAAACCCGCTGGGGGGGGGGCAGTGCTCGCGCTTACGAGTAGCCTTTTCTCTAACGCGACTGGCTCCCTGAAAGTGATTGACGGAAACGGTCTCCCGTCATAGAACGGTCTTCACTGGAAGGGGCGGGGCGATCAGTGGCCCTTTCCGTGAGGTCCTGAAGGAGAGGAGTCGCGCGTCGCTGAGAAGTTTCTCCAGGGCGGCCATGAGCGGCTCTCTCTGCCGCCTGCCCGCGGCCCTGCGGCGCTTGGCGGCGTCCCGGCCGCTGCTTTGGGTCACGCGGCCGCTGAGCCAAGCGGGGTCGGCGGGGGATGGCGCTGCCGGTGGTTCCTCGAGCTCCGGGTCGGGGGAGGTGGAGAAGCTGGTGCGCGCCCACCCAGTCGTGGTCTTCATGAAGGGCACCCCGGCCCAGCCCCAGTGCGGCTTCAGCAACGCCGTGGTGCAGATCCTGCGCTTGCACGGCGTCACCGACTACCGCGCCTACGACGTCCTCCAGGACCACGACCTGCGGCAAGGTCAGCGCTCCACTGGCCGGCCCTGGCCGCCCGTTCTCGGCTCCCTCCCCTTTTCCTCGCCCGAAAGAGCCCCGAGGGCCGGCGGTGGCTCCAGCGCCAGACGCGAGCATAAGTTGCGTCTCGGATGAGCTTGCTTTACATGGGTGGTTGGAGTGCCCAGCTAGGACCGTGGAGCCCCTCGTTCACGTCCCCACTCTGGCACAGAACTTGGGTGGGTGACCGTGGGCCAATCACGCACTTATTCGGCCTGACCTACCTCACAGGGTTGTTGTGAGGGTAAAAATGGAGGAAGGACAAACCATGTGTTCTGAGATAGAGCTTCAGCTTGGCATGTGGAAGGTGGCAGGTTCGTTCTCTGGCCTGTCCAGTTTTAAAGGGTGAGCTAGAACATGACTTTAAAGACGCATCCCTGAAACACGGTTAATCAGAAGAGGCAATAATGGATAGATTTCACTCCAAAGAGCAGTGTCCTGTGGATGCAGCCTATGAGCATTAGATTCGGGGTGGCCAAAGGAAAGTTCTTTTTCACTCAGAGAATTGTGGGCTTGTGGCATTGGCTGCCACAGGGCGAAGCCATGACTACCACATTCATTGGCTTTAAAAGAAGATTAGTAGTTTGGTGGAGTGGTTAGGAGCATGGATTCTAATCTGGGAGAATTGGGTTTGATTCCCCACTCCTCCAACATGCAGCTGCTGGTGTGACCATAGGTCAGTTACAAGTTCTTTCAGAGCTGTCTTAGCCCTCGCAAGTAGTTCTCCAAATAACTGTCTTAGCCCCATCCACCTCACAGAGTGTCTCTTGTGGGGAGGGGAAGGGAAAAGAGATTGTGAGCTGCTCTGAGACTCCTTTGGGTAGTGAAGAGTGGGGTATAATGCAATCTCTTCTTCTGGAGGACAGGTCCATTAGTGGCTTTGTCATGTTTTTCAAAAGCATGCTTTTTCTTTGGATGCTGTGGGGTGGGAAATCAACGACAGAAGGAAGTTTTTGGGCCTCCGTATGCTGCTTCTGGCTAGCCACTGCATGATGCAGGATTTTGGACTAGATTAACCATTGTTCTGGTAACAGCGTGGGCGTTGTTATGTTTCAAATTTTTGAAGTTTATATCCAATTTTCTTCCCCAACAGGGACCCAAAGCAGCTTACAAGATCATTTTTGCATCCTCTGCTTTATTCTCACAACAACCCTGTGAAGTAGTTTAGATGGAGTGACAGAGTGACTGGCCTAAGATAGTTCAGTGAGTTGGGGCTTCAAAACTGGTTCTTCTAGATTCTAAACCTCCAAAGGAAGTTTAGAAAACTAATGGAGGGCCAAAAGTTAAAAACATTAGTAAATGTACAAAAGAGTGCTTATTACAAAGACATATAAAAACGTAGTAGGGGCCCAGATAAAGCCTCATAAAATGTACAGAAATACACGCAAAAGAGAGCCGTGTATGACCTGATGCGTTTTGGCTCACAAGAGCCTTCTTCAGAGGTCAAATAGTGCAAAATATAACAAGTTACAGAGTCCCTGTAACACATGTAAGGCAATTAACAATAAACATAAAATAGGACCAAAATTGGACTGCTGTACAGAAAGGCAAAAATTGTTTCAGATTCATATTTAATACTTCAATTGAAAATTCCATCCAATATTAAAAAATATTTTACTTTACCCAAATATACCTACTTCCAATATGGAATTGAATGACACATCAAAAAGTTTCTATTTGGGGCCACAAATATATCTGGCCTTGTGTCAGAAGTTGTTGTATGAACTGGAAATATTATGTACCTGGAAATAAGGATAACCCAGGGGCTCCTGACCTTTTTGAGCCTGCAGGCAGCTTTGGGATTCTGAGATAGGATGGTGGGTGCAACCACAAAATAGCTGCTTTGGGAGGTGAAGCGACAGGCACATACACACACACATAGAGAAAGTCTCAAGTGCAGAGAAGAGGGGTGATTTTAAGAAATACACTGGGAAACAGGTGAGTGGGAGAATAAAACCAACACTGTTGGTAATAGCTGTTGCTGAAATGACAGCATTTAAATCTGCACAGTCAATCAGAGCTCCGGTGGCCAGTCAGAAGCCCTGCTGGGCAAGAGCCCTACCTGTCCCCGCCAACTTTAAAAAAACACTTGGCGGACACTAGAAAAGGTGTCAGTGGGTGCCATGGGGGTCATAGTTCAGACAAGAGCTGTCCTTGAAAAAGAGCTCTCAGAGCTCTCTCAGCCCCACCTACCTCTGTTGTGGGGAGGGGAAGGGAAAGGAGTTTGTCAGCCGCTCTGAGAGTCCGAGTGGAGGGCGGGGTATAAATCCATTCTCCTCTTCTTAACCACAACATCATCTTTTCTTTTATCTGGGTTGACTAAATGTAAAAAAGAACAGAACTAGTGTGTTTTATTTTTATTCATTTTAGATAGGAGATTTTAATATGGAGAGTATATCATGTAGGGGAAAGAGATGCCATAATCCACTGAAGCTAATTCTGTGATGTAATAGAGCAAGGCCAAAATCCTATTTGGATTTACCTGAAAATAAGCAGAACAAAGTTTGAGTCCGGTGGCACCTTTAAAACCAACAAAGTTTTATTTAAGTTATAAACTTTCTTGTGCCCACGCACTTCAGATACAGTAAAATACAATTTCCTCAACCATTATATATAGAAAGAAAGGGAGAGAGGGTTAGTTGCTAGGAACTAACATCTTCATTATGCTGTGTGATAATTTACTGCTCACTCTGTACCTATATGTATTGACTGGTAATTTCCAATTTTGTTTCTCTCTCTGTCTTGACACTAATTGGCCCTTCCTGGCAACTAACTCCCCCTCTCTTTCTTTATGTAATGGTTGAGGTAATTGTGTTTCACTGTATCTGAAGAAGTGTGTTTGCACACAACAGCTTATATCTTTAATAAAACTTTGTTGTTCTACTGCTTCAGACCAACATGGCTACCTACCTGGATCTGAAAATAAGTTTTTGGGACTTGCTTTTGTTTACACTTTAATGGGGTTTGGTTGCATGCAAATTAATGCTCTGCCCTTTCTTTTTTGCAGCTGGCACCCTTCCTTCATCCCTCCCCTAAGTACAAAAACTAACCTCAAAAATAACATGGTGGAAGTGCTTCTGATGACTCTGTTTAAATTGGGGGAACAACTCTTGAGTTCCAAACCACCAATTAGTGTTTTGTCCACATCCAGTTTAGCATCCTCGGTCCATATTTAGAGTTGTTAGCAGATTAATGCCAGTACAGATTTTGCCACCACCACTCATTGGAAGTCATACCCACAGAGAGAGGAGAAGTAAAACTAAACCAACCAAGCAAAAACCTCCAAAAGAAGTTTAGAAAACTAATATAGAGGGCCCAAAGTTTAAATTTTTTTTGGAATGTTCCATTCTAGAATTGAATGACACACACACACACAATTGTTTGGGGGCCACAAATATATCTGATCTTGTGTCAGAGGCAATTACATGTATTGGAGATAGTAATATTGCCAATATGTACCTTCCAGTTTAGGTGCTAAGGTGATTTTACTTGGTACATTGGCCCTGATAAGAGTACATTTTTGGTCCTATATCAATTGTTTACTGCCTTACAAGTGTAACAGGGGCTTGGTTGCATGTTTATTCTGTACTGTTTGACCTCTGAAGAAGGCTCTGGTGGGCCAAAACACGTCAGGTCATACGCTGTTCTCTTTTGTGTGTATTTGTAACTTTGTTCATTTTATGAGGCTTTATCTGAGCCCCTACTAAGTTTTTATATGTTTTTGAAATAAACACGTGTACATTTGTTTATACCTATTGACAGGGGTCTTTTTGTAGAAAAAGAGCTGCAGAAGCTCATTAGCATATGGTATGCTAATGAGCTACTAGGCTATTAGCATATGCCATGCCCCCTGACATCACCGAAAGTTATGTCAGAAGGGGAAGCAAAAGGGGGGGCGGCATCTTCAAAAGCCTCCCCTTCCCTTCCCCAGCTGGCCTGTGGGGGGGGGGAGCAAAGAGAGAAGGGGTTTAAAGTTTAAACCCCTTCTCACTAGAGTTGGGCCACAGAAGGAGGAAAGAGGGAAGGAAAGAGAGAGTAGAGAGAAGGAAAGAAGGAAGGAAAGAGGGGATACAAAGAGAGAAGGAAATTGAAAGAAAGAAGGAAAGAAGGAGGGAAAGAAAGAGAGAGAAGGGAAGACGGAGGGAAAGGAGGAAAAAGAAGAGAAGAAGGCGAGAAAGAGAGAAGGGAAGAAGGAGGGAATGGGGAAGCCGGCGGTGGGGCTCTCCGGGCGTCCCCCGAGCCACAGCGCTTCTGCGCAGGCCCGGAGGACCCGGGGGCAGGGCTCTTGGGCCTCCCTCAAGCTGCAGCGCTTCTGCACGGGCCCGGGGGACCCAGGGGCAGGGCTCTCCAAGCCTCCCCTGAGCCGCAGCGCTTGTGCGCGGGCCTGGGGGACCCAATGGTGGGGCTCTCCGGCCTCCCCCGGCTGCAGCGCTTTCGGCGCAGGGAGCTGGGGGTGGGGCTTGCTACCACGCGGCCTGCCGGAGCTTATTGATGTTTTTAACTTTTGGCCCTTTACTGGTTTTCTAAACTTCAAAACTAAGTCATAAGCTAGCTTTTACAAGAGTGTTTTACTTGATTGAGCAGGGTAGTGTCTAAAGTGAGGGTGCAATGAAGATCACAGCAACTACTTCTGTGGCTACCAAACCGTAATGATTTTACATGTGTCCCACTTTCAAAAAACAGCATTGGCAGCAGCTTTCAGAATTTCTGCCTTGCCCATGAGCATATATTGGAAAGGGATATTTAAGCCATTATCCATGTCATCTAGAGGTCCTTAAGAGCAGTGTCGCACATGATGTTAATACTGTAATCCTATTCACATTTATGTGGGAGCAACTGCCTTTCAAATTATTGGTAGTAAGCATGGATTAGATTGGATTCTATGAGCCTGTTTCATCTTTATACTAATAGTCAAGGGTCCCGGTGTGGATACTTATTTCTGCAGATTGGGACCGCATGGGGAAAAAAGAGATTATCCTGCACACGTCAGTTACTTCACAGGTGTGCAGAAAAATCTAAAAGCTTTAAAATATAGAGGGGGGAGTTTAAAAACAGCCAAAAAGTAAAGCAGAGTTCACCGCGGCTGCGTAGAGAACGGACTTGCCAGGGTTGAGGAGGAGGAGCCTTCTCTCCCCGTCCCTCTCTCTCCTATTATTCTGATAGCATTGAGTCCTCCCCATGGCCACGCCCCCTTCAACGAACGTTCAAGCCTCCAACAGACAACCTTGCGATTTAAAGCAAACTGCAGCAGCTCTCAGCTCTCTTCAGTGGGCAGCTCCTCCGCTTTTTTCGCTCTTCCTCTTCTCCCACCTCCTCCCAGCTAATTAAGTTTTAGGTTTACTGATAGAAGGGGGAAAACCAGAGTGGGCAGGGAGGAAAACCTTTTTTTCTTTGGAGAATGCAAGAGTGTGAGTGTGTGCCAAACTTCCTTCTCAGATACTAGATGATAGAGCCAGCAAGCTTTTTTTATCACCCTTTGCAAAGAAGTCTGGAGCAGAAGGATTTTGCCCAGAGGTGGGTCAGCTTGGCCAGTTCTTTCCCTGCATTGGAATGCCAATAGAGTGGGAATGGCAGAGGCTTCAAATGTACCCCCCCCCCAAGCGACGCTGCTCTTTGATGCCTCATCCTGACCAAAGTGGTATTGCTAAATCAGCTGTAATGTTGAGTTACAGTAGTTTAGTCATGGGAATGCTATTAGAACTGCAGAGCTTTGATAACAATGATTACTTTTAAACTGGGGTTTCTCTGGACTACAGTCACCAGTGTTCCCTCTAAGCTGAGTTAGTGTGAGCTAGCTACAGCTTTTTAGCCTCCAGCTCACAGATTCTTGTCCTAGCTCAGGGAGTCACAACACATTATGCAACATTTTGTTGCGGGTCCCCTCTTGTGCATTTCTAATTGCAAGTATGAAGGCATGTCCACATAGGAGAGTTAAGTATTCTATAAAGTTAATATAAAATCCATGTTGGCTAAAAACATTTGACTTCTTTCACATTCTGATCTTGCTTAGCTCAAGGCAACATATTTATTCCTTTGTGTATAGGTATGTGCATTCGTGGCCCTGACCTGGATAGCCCAGGCTATCCTGATCTCGTGAGATCTCGAAAGCTAAGCAGGGTTGGCCCTGGCTAGTGTTTGGATGGGAGACCACCAAGGGAGTCTGGAGATTTGATGCAGAGGCAGGCAATGGCTAACTACCTCTGAACGTCTCTTGCCTTGAAAACCCTTCCAGGGGGTCTCCCATAAATCAGCCCTGACTTGACGGCACTTTCCACCACCACCATTCATTTGCTGTCAATGGCCAAACAAAATCCAGAAAACACAGATTAATATAATTACAAGCCAACCACCCTGGCCTGGATAGCCCAGTCTTGTCAGATCTTGGAAGCTAAGCAGGGTCAGCTCTGGCAAGTACTTGGATGGGTGACCTCCTTGAAATACCAGAGGCAGGAGGTGGGGGGCAGGCTTCATTCAGCCACCTCTCTTAATATCCTCCAGTCACTAGCAGTTGCCCTGACTTTCACATGCAGACACAGTCAGTCAGGAGGGGTTGCCATGACTTCCAGATGTGTGCGCACACGCACACAAATACAAAAGAAATTATAAGCCAACCAAATCACCCTGAACCTTGATGAATAAGATTTTTGTTGTTGTTGTTAGAGAGTAGTTAGTTCATGTTTCAGGTGGATGCCTGTAGTTTGGGACCACAACAGAGAAGCCCCTCTCTCTGGCAGAAACTTGATTCCTGTTTGATGAGTTTGTCCATAGTAGAGCCTCTGAAGATGATCTCAGACACGTGGGTTCATGTAGGAGTAGCAGTTTCAGATTCCCGGGTCCAAAGGCTTTGGGGGTAAAAGCAGCCATTTCTACCTGAAAGCAAACTGAAAGCCAGCAAAAATTTATAACATATTAATGGCCTTGGATGAAAAAAAAGAACATCTCTTTTCCATTTGCAAAGCTCAGTGATTTCTTTCTCTGTGTCCAAGTTTTGTCGTGGCTTCAAAATTTCTAGGAATTTTATATCTAGCAATAACAAGAACATATGGTCATTAAAATACAAAACATTGAAAGCTGAGAAAAAAAATTGGGGCTAGTTCCCAGAGACAAAGAAAATTTGCCAAGTCCTGCCATAAAGCACCTGGAGGTATCTGCTTGCCCTCTGACAATTACAGTTGCTGTGGTACCTTTTGTATGTAGTGGGTAGAAGAGGAGAATAACTAGTCCTGTTTAACTATGCATTATGGATATGCCATAGTGGGTACAATTAATAGTTTTCATTTGGGGAATTTTGCAAGGAAGAAAGCTAGGAGTCTAAAGTTACTTTGTTATTTAGCGTTATTTTTTA